GGGGGGCGCTGAGCGCAGCGAGGCTTGCTGGTTTCATGGCGTTGTGTTCATGTTATGTAACCCATAACTCATGGCGCGAGGACGGCGGGGGGCGTCCTTGCGCAGTGGGCGAGGACGCCGCAGCGTCCTCAGGCTGAGATATGTGCATATCCAGCGCATAACATGCCCCAGGTTCGGTTCTGCGGCCCTGATGTCGCCGCCCCCGGGCGAAATATAGTTTTTGTATACTTACAAGCCCCCTGAGGTGACCAGTTGCCTTCCTCACCCGCGCGCCGGCACCGCGCACCACCCGCCAACTTACCAACCTGCCGTGCACACTTCATCGTGCAATATACCGTTCGAACGCTTCATATACACGATTCCCGTATCAATCTTTAAGAATAATCCCGGCACAACATGGCGAACAGGCTGCCGTGCGTTGCGCCCGCTCCCGATCGTCCGCGTCGATCGCGCCAGCCTTCTAAAAAAGCGCTTGAGGGCCAGGGCGCGAAAGTAATCCGTGTGGGTCAGCCCACTAGGGCCAGCTTCGTGCCGCGCCGGCATGGACAGCCGCTGAGTGCCGCCAAACTCGGCGCCAAGCGGCGCCGCAGGGACGACAACAGCGACGCTGACTGGCGCAGCAGCGACGGGGAGGAGGAGGAGAGCGAGGAGGGGCCAGAAAAATCAGAGGACTTTGAGGAAGAGGAGGACGAGGAGGAGGCGGAGGAGGAGGAGGCAGGGGTGGGCGCGTCACGGCCGCGCCGCCCCCAGCAGCGCTCATCAGCTGCTGCCCTCGCCTCCTCGGCGCCAGGGCACGGCGGGCGCAGACAGCGCGCACAGCCCGAGGGGCAGGGGCAGGAGCAGCAGCAGCTAGAGGTTGCAGGGTGGGTTACGGCACAGGCTGCTTGGGTGCAAGGTCATGGGTGTTGCTTGCTGTGTGTTGGCGTTGGCACATTCAAATTTGGACGTGTGATGAGCCTGCGCAAGAACACCGCCCTACAAGCGTGATCATGGGCCAACTGCCGCAGGCCCATCAGCAGCACCTCACACCCCCAGTGCGTCAATCCTGTCAGCTCCATCCCCCCGGCCTCCACATACAACAGTGTCCTGACGGCGGCTGAGCTGGGGGATATTGCCCACGAGTCCAAGGGGATCAAGCGTGCCGCGTCCATCAGGACGTACAGCTCCCATGATGCCAAGTTTCACGTGAGCCGGCCGTGCAAGATTTGGGAAAAGGCCGTACTTGCTGGCTTGAATGTGAGCGGATGCGTATGCGCGTACACACGCGCGCACCCCTCTGCCACTCCCCTGCCGCCCACCCCCTCTGCCCCCCTTTCGTAAGTGCATGCACCAAATCAAATGCCTGATGAACCATTACACGTCGCTCGCCAACCTGAATTTTCTCACCCTAGCACTTCCTCAAGAACGACGAGAAGGGTGCTGAGCGGGCGGTGCCGCTTGACGACAACCTGCTGGGCAGCGCGGGGCTGGGGCTGGCTGTCCGCTACATTACGTGGATTGGCAAGGGGATGCCCGGCATGGAGTATGCTCGGAAGAAGGAGCATCTGGTGGGAGCATTGCATCTTAGGGCAGGAGCGGGGCTGCTCGACACTAAAACCCCTGTTACAAGTAGCTATCTGCAGCTTGAAGTCCCCTGCCATCCATGCCCTATATATGCACACAGCTGCAATCTCAATTCAACACACCCTCCATTGCTGATTCTTGCTCTGCATCCGTTGTTCCGGCTCCTCTCAGACCAGGGCGCTGGTGGAGGGCATTCATTCAGCGCTGCAGGCGATGCACAGCCGGCAGCTGCTGGAGACTGGCGATGGCCACCAGCAGATTGGGATGGGTAGGCTGACTGACCAGCTCGCCTACAAGACCAAGCTTGATAGCATCAAAGCTGGGATCAGCAAGAAGGGCGACCGCAGCTACAAGGACGGCGACGCCCAGGTGAGCTTTGGTTGCGGCGTTGAGCGCGCTTGGCTCCGCTGCGTGATTGCCCAGCTGCAACCCAACATAGCCCTGCACACTGCTAAGTACTGCCTTGCAATCTGCTACACCAGTGAATTGGGGCGGGGCGGCCACCCCCACACTCACTTACCTGATGCCTTAGCATCACCATCACTCTCAACGTCCTTCATGCCATACCATGCAACCCTGGAATATGCTGACCGATGTATGGCCCCGCCGCTCTTCTGTGCGTTCCAATGCCCCTTGAAGGATGGCACGTGCGAGGACACGTTCTCCGAGGTGCAGTACCATGAGCTGCTGCACAACATGATGCGGTGCGGCACGGCCGCCTCGGACCGCAACCAGGCCGTCTTCACTTCCCAGTTCAGCTCAGTGGGCCGCTCGGACGATGCGAGGCGCTTCTACACATGCGACCTCGTCAAGCCCCGCGTCATTGAGGCAATTGGTAAGCTGCTTGGGGCCCTGCTTAGCGGGCGGGTGTCAGAGTTTGAGCCCGTGACAGGAAATCAAATTGGCAAGTCAGCCTTCCAGGTTTCTAGATAGCGGTGCTGAGGTGTGAGGACTGGGGCGCCTCCGTCATTATGGTGTCAGGGTAGGGCACTTTGGTGGAAAGTGGAGCCAAGGCGGCCGACCAACACCGAGTGCAACACGAAGACTGATTGGCACACCCTCACACTGCAAGCAATTGTGTATCATCTTGCTCTACATGGAGCATCGCAACAATCTGTGCTGAAAAATGCGCAGGGCCCTCCACCTGCAACCTTCTGCCCATCGTCACGAAGAACGGCAAGACGCAGAGCAACGGCCGCCTGGCCTACTGCGGCGCGATCAGGGCGCAGGACCCGCTGGAGTGCATGCAGCGGTCACTGGGGTACGACTTGGTGAGCAGGTTTACGATCGGCAAGGAGCCCTTCCCCATGCCGGACGACGAGGACGCCTGGAACAGGACCGCCCTCTTCCAGGGGAGCAACCCGCAGCAGCCAATCTCGTACGCGCAGCTGCACGCCAGTGTGCTGGCTGCGTTTCTGGCGGTGGGCATCTCTGTGGCCAAAAAGACCCACGCCTTTCGCGTGGCAGGCGCCCAGCGGCTTGACGCACGCGGCGTGGATGACATGGTGAGCGCTTTTCCATCAGTCAGGGTGAAGCAGGTTGAGTGCCACGACATCCATTGGCCTTGGAATAGTTCGCATGCGCCAAGCCCTGCGGCTGCGGCTTAAAGTCTGCCAGAATATCGTCGCATCTTTCACACATGTGTACCTCTCATTCGGTGATGCAGGTGATCGCGCGCTTTGGCAAGTGGCTGTATGCGGCCATGTACAAGTCCTACCTGATGTTCTTCAAGCCAGAGGGCCTCCTGGCGATGGGGAACTGGCCCCGCGCTGCTCAGAAGGACTTTCAGACGTACTGGCACCCGTGAGTTGTGCTCTGGTCTTGAATTTCCAGCGCCTTGTGCGCTGTTGGACAGAGTGGCATGTGGTTGTCAGAGAAGGGCTGTGCAAACCTTCAACCCATACACTGATTACTTTGCGCTACCGAAGGTGCCAGAGTTGCAACACATGTAATTGCCGCACGTACCACAAACGTCACCCGCCTGCCCGCCCTTGCCCCTAACGCGCACAGCCGCTTCATGGCGGATGTGGAGGAGAGCCTTGTGAGCAAGATCATGCCCTGGCTGGCACCCCTCAAGGAGGCCGTCACCGCGCTGGACACCAAGGCCAAGGCCTCCCACCGCAGTGTGGTTGCGGCACTGGAGGTCCTCGCCGTTGTGGTTGTGCAGGACGCTCTCGTGCTGGCACCCAAGTACCCAGACCACAAGGTTCACCAGCTGCTGCGGGAGTCTGAGCTGTTCAGGTTGGGATATTGTATGGCATGTGTACAGTGTGGAGTGGGGCACTTTTGTTGTCTGGGAGCATTGGGGGGAATCACCTGGGAGACTGTGCCGGAACCTGCACAGGTTGTATCCTTCAGCCAACAGAATGGGTGATCGAGGCACATGCTGGGTAAAGCTGACAAAATTTAGGAGGGCAGGCAGCAACAGCAATGCACAAACTCTTATGAAAGATGATGCTGTTGCTGTTGATGCGTTCTAGACAATGGTGTGTCACTTGTTTTACTCTGCATGGCTGGCTTCGACGCCTGACTTGCTTGCCGTACTCACTTCTTAGGGAGAAGGAGGCCCAGTTCAAGAAGCTGCTGGACGGGGGCAAGTTTGAGCCGTACCGCCCTCGCTCCACGCGTGAATTAGCCCTTGGATCAGCGCTGGCGCTGCAGCGCATCGAGGGCGCCATCACCTCCGGCTGCCTGCCACGCGGCTGGACCGGCGGCCGCCAGCGCATGGGGCCACCTGTCACTGCAGAGGAGGAGGAGCAGCGGGCTCACGACTCGGCTGAGCAGCTTTTGCAGCGGATGGACCAGCAGCAGCTTGACGCGGGCAGAGATGCTGCTGCACATGACGAGGGGTTTGACGGCGATGAGGCTGCAGGCGACATGGACAGCGAGGGCGAGGAGGGCGAGCCCCGAACGCCACGCAGGGCGCGCGGTACCGCCTTGCAGCTGCAGCAACAACTGCCGCCGCCGCACCAGCAAGCACCCCAGCCGCTGCCGTCGTCGCAGCAGCAGCAGCAGCAGCGGCGGCGGCGGCGGCAGCAGCAGCAGCAGCAGCAGCACTGGGAGGAGGAGCAGCAGCAGCAGCAGCCCTGGGGGGAGCAGGCTGCAGCGCAGACGCAAATGCAGCAGCAACAGCAACAGCAGCACTGGCGGGAGCAGCAGCAACAGCAGCAGCAGCAGCAGCAGCACTGGGGGGAGCAGCAGCAACAGCAGCAGCAGCCGCCCTGGGGGGAGCAGGCTGCAGCGCAGACGCACATGCAGCAGCAGCAGCAGCAGCAGCAGCAGCAGCAGCAGCAGCAACAGCAGCAGCGGTACTGGGCGGAGCAGGCTGCAGCGCACACGCAGCAGCAGCAGCAGCAGCAACAGCACTGGGGGGAGCAGCAGCAACACCAGCAGCAGCAGCAGCCCTGGGGAGAGCAGGCTGCAGCGCGCACGCAGCAGCAGCAGCAGCAGCAGCAGCATTTTGCTGCTCGCCAACATGCAGCCTTTGCAGAGCACCAACAACACTACCAGCACACCTTTGGCGCAGGCCTGCCGCTGGGGTGGCAGGCGTCCCCAGCGCACGGGCTCACCGGGTTCGCCTCATCGTATGCAGGGATGGCGCCCGGGCTGCACTATGGGCCTGTCTTGGGGCCATACGGCGCACCAGTCATCGCGCCTGGTGAGTAAAACTCAGCAGCTTGAATTGCTGCACGGACGGTTTGTGTGTGAAACCCTGGATATGATCAAGCTAATAAATTTCTGCCATGCAGTTGAGCTCAACCATCCCCGCCTCTTCCCCTTTCATGCGCCCTATCGCCCAACCTGCAGGAATGGTGATGCTCCCCGGCTGCCCGTTCCCAGTGCCGCTCTCATCCCTCTCTTCAGTCATGGGGCCGCCCGCAGCATACAGCGCCATGCTGCAGCAGCCGCCGCTGGTGCCGCAGCTCGATGACCCTGCCACATGCGGCTTTGGCGTTGGCGCCAGGGGACCCATGCCTCTGGCGCAGTTGGCAGCGGCTTCTGCCGACATAGGCTTTGGTCCTGCTGCCGTGGCTGGGGGTTTGGTGAGAGATCCAGCTCAGCAGGAGCAGGGGCAGCAGCAGCAGCAGCAGCAAGAGCAGCGGCAGCAGGGGACGCAGCGGCAAACCTGCGCAAAGGGGGGTATTGCAAGTGCCATCCGTCCCTTCCCGCAGCTGCAGTCGCTTCCCACGCTGCTCAAGCTGTGGGCGCTGTACGACCAGGGCGCTGCCGGGCAGCCGGCCCTCAAGGCGCTGGAGGCGAGCACAGAGGACCCAAAGCACACGTGGCGGAGGGGCGCCGACATGCGCAAGCGGTGGCACGAGATCAAGCAGTTTGTCGCGGCGGTGCAGCAGCGGGCAGCAGCGGGGTCTGGGAGGCAGCTGATGACGGCGGAGCAAGTGGTCAGGTACGAGTGCTGTTGCTGTGCCTCAGTGCCGTAGTTCCTTGTGCTTGCGTGTCCAACAACAGCATCGTTTTAGCTGAGGATCCCCACTATTGCGGCACGCCGTTTGATTACTTGTCTTGACCCAGTGTGAAGCACCACATCTGCCCATTATGCTTTTTGCAGGGACATGGAGGAGCACCGGATGAGCATCCCCGCTGCTTTGCCACAGTATGTCAAAAAGAAGCTGTGGACAACAATGGGCGGAAGCGGTGGCAGTGGTGCGGCGGGGCTGGCCGGTGGGCGCAGCAACAACAGCGGCACTGCCGCAGCAGCCGCCGCCAATGGTGTAGGCTGAGGGTAGACATTTGCGTAGCAGCGTTTGAGGGCAACAAGCATGTGGAGTAGTGATGAGACGGATGGAGTCAATTTTTTATCCCCTTTGCATTTGGTGACTGCTCGTGTTGTGTGCCCATGGCTTGTGCCTGCACCCCAACCCTTCTCTGTTTTGGTGATTATTTGCTTGCTTCCCTACTTAGTTTCCTGCATACGCTTCAACCTCAGCAAGGACTGGTGCTATTATCTTCCTAGTCGGGACCTGTAAACCTAGCACAGAGTTTCAATTGGCATGAAGAAGCTCTTAACGCTTGGCACTACAGACTCTAAAAGAAGGGGAGGTGCATTGCTGCACTTGAGTCGCGAGCCAAAGCCTCGAGAGTCCTCGCCGCTGCAATGGGCAGGCTGCACAGCCTTGTGACTTGTGAAAAACCACTGACGCATACAGTAAGCACAACACACACAGCACAGCACAGCAGCGCAAGTGGCTGCGCCGTGGCAGCGCACCCGGGGGATATGCAGACTGGAGCCGTGCAGCTGAGACTCCCTTGGCAGACGCGACGTTGTGGATTGTGCTGAAGAATTCCAGCACATGTTCAGTGGCACACCCCCTAAGCAGCTCACAACTCACAAGCAAGGCACACTAGCTGGCTGTGCTGTCGATGCAATGCGGAGGAAGCCGGCTGTGCATCCAGCCGCGGCCAGCCATCTTCACACATTGCAAAGCGTTCGCAGCCATACATTGGCATTGTATGTGAAGGCACAAGCAAGACCAGCAAGTCCTGTCAGCAGCATTACAGTTGAGTCAACGAGCTGCCGCCCACATCGACGCACTGGTGTGCGGCTAATCTGGCATGTGCAGCGCCCAAGTTGGCATAGTGGATGTGACCACAAGTGCTTGCTCATCAACACAAACCCAATGATGCCCAAGGTAAAGCCCTGGAATGCATTTAAACCCTCACTTGGGGGGTTACAATCACTGTCCTCACCACCATGAGGAAGTGTCCTCACCCACTGTGCCCGCAGGGGCTGAGGAAGGTCCTCGCGCTGTAGTTAAGTTGTGTTTTACGCGGTCTGTCCGTCTTGTCACCTGGTCTACCATGTTCCCACCAAC